GCCCAGCTCTGGTGAGGACAGCTGGTCTCTGAAAGGAGAAATGGAGAGACTCTAATCAGAGCAAAGCACCTGCTCTTAAGGCTATGGATGTTGAGATATTTAAGATAATCAGAAATGAGACATGGTTAAGTTTGGAGATGGCTCTGTGAAAAGGGAAGGGTGGTGCCCAGTGCCTGGAACTGGAACTAGCTGCCCTGTTAGGTAGTGAGCTCCCCATCTCTGGAAGCATGTCGAGAGTTTGCCAGCACCGGAGGAATCTGCAGAGGACTTCCAGACACATGCGTCTTTGACTCTATGACAGGACGCCACTGCTCTGCCCAGTTCTGAATTTGGAGCTCTAGGCGAGGACCATGTCCAAGGGAGACTTAATTGATCTCCATTGGTTTACTGGAAGCTTCACCTATTTATCTGAGGGTGACACAGCATGCACCAGAAGGGGAGAGAGTTAAAAGGGGGTGTGACTCCTGACCACCAGTAGCTATGAACCCTGGATGATCTCCTCCATTTCTTCTGTAACTGGCTCCAAATCTCCCTCCTGGTGTGCTTGTGAACGTCCAATACCATGAGGTGCATCGACCTGGGCACATCTAGGAAAGTGTGCAGGTCGGCGAGGTCAATTCTAACCCATCCATTCATATTCCAGCCAACAAGTGTGCCTGGAGGATATCGACACCCGGTTCTGCACTGGGTTAAAATTATTTTTATATAATATATATGCACATGTGTGTAGATATACACACATTTGTACATGTCCACAAAATAAACATTTTTTTCTAAGAGGAAGGTAGAAGGACACAATTTTTCAAAACCTCTTTCAGTTTTCATTGGGAAGAAGCAGACCCAGTTCTCCGAGAAGTTGACTTTTGCCACCAGACAGCTCTGGCGCAATCCGTGCTGCTGACTCAGCATTTGCGGTGATGGGGATGGGTCCTCCTCCTCTCCTCTCTACTTCTTTTCTTGGTCCCCCTTGCCCTATTCTGCTCATTCTCACCTCTATGGGGTCAGAGAAGAGTCAACTCGCATTAGTCCATTTAATTATTTTCTGCCACTGTTGGGAACGAGGTGGGAGGGTGAGGGGGTGGCTGCTAACGGGTTTTTAAAAGGCAGAGTTGAGGCCTTTTCTGTGTCCGACAACCACTCAGGCTATTTTCTCCCCACCACTGTCACAGAGAATCAAGTGTTGGCCCTTATTTACTGAGTGCTATTCCGTCCAAGGAGTGTCTCTTTCCCAGATCCCAACTCCTACTCACCCCTCAATGCCCAGCTCATATGGCCCCTCTTGGAAGCCTTTCCTGTCTTCCCTAGGCAGAGAGATGCTCCTTTTCTGCATCCATGTCACTTTGATCAGGCTGAAACTGTTACTCGCTATCTGTTCCTGTGACTGTTGGCTCCTTTTTTTTTCCCCACAAGCTTATGAACTACTTGAGGGTCTGATCACGTTTGATTTGTCTTAATGTTCCAAGGTCTAGTAGAGCCTTGGCACATGGCAGGCACTCAGGTATTATCTACTTAATGATTCATACATTTCTAAAGCGAACACTCCTATTTTAGGATTCAGCAGAGAGGGGGTTAAGAGATGGATATTACCCATTCATTTCCTGACAAGGAGAAAATGTATCAAGACCTAAAACCTATGATTTCTATTGGAATGGCATGGGTGTTTGTGAACCACACTCTCCTGTCAGAAACAGGGCTCATATTAAAACCATTTCCCACCCATGTGTGTACCAAGACTGCATGTGAAACATTGTCCACACTTAGCATCCATGGATATGGGGCACTCAGTGGTGGAAATGCCCTCGATCCATCCATTCCTGATGAACATCTCATTCAGTCCATTTGTATAACCACCTTTACAGCTGAGGAAACTGTGGTTTTAGAACATTATAAGAAGTGGATGTAAAATAAGCACTTTAAAGAACTGGAGTGGTGGGTCAAATAAAATTAGACCCTTTGCTTCATAAAACTCAAATCTTATCAGGCCATTGATCTTTGCTTAAAGAACTGTTCTCAGCTCTGAGCTTTCCTAAGGACAGACTCGAGCCTCTGGGGCTGACCTGCAAGGTTCCAGCCTCTCACTGTAAGTGAGTCCCTTGGTCTCTGAGTCACCTCATGTTGCATTCCATAGCCACAGTGAATGGCACTGCACGCAGTCCTCCAAGGGGCAGTCCTTGCTTTATGCTTTTTCTCTGCCTGGAAACTCCTACACCACCCTCACCCCCAAAGAGCGTCCCACCCTCTCTGCTGTTCACCTGCCTGATGACCCTTCATCTCTAGAACTGGGTGGAGATAGCATGTCTTCAGGGAGCTTGCTGTTTCTGCCCATCAGTCTGGGCTGGGAGCCCCTCCTCTGGGCTCCCTTGCACCCACTCTTACACAACACTGATAAGTGTGTGTTGTCTAGTTACTAGTAGGTCTCCCAGTAAAACCACAAACAACTTGAGGACAGGGGCTGAATCTAACCACCACTAACCTCTCGTGTCTAGCACTGGCACTGATACATAACAGGCTCTCAAATGTTTGCTGAATGAGCGGACCCTTCCTTTCTTCTGAAGCCAAGACTTGGCAATGTCCTAGGTGAACAAATTCCAAGAGAACTGGTAGAAGTGACCTGTAGGTGGTTCCCGTGGAAAATTCCCACTCTAGTAAATTGGTTCCACAATGACCAAATTAGGACAACTGCTCACTTCAGTCTAATTTATTGATGGAACTTCCTCAAGCAGCCTTGAACGAGTGCCAGTCCATGGGCCCCTGTCTTGTTCATTTCCAGAGTCTCAGCACCTAGTGCCCAGGGTGGGTCTTTGAGAGAAAAGCTAAAACTCTCCCAGGCAAGAGCATCCATCCTTTTTTCTACTTAGGATGCTTTATGCAGGGGAGCCTTTCACATGCCTCCTTCCCTCACTGTGTTCAGGTCCTGCTGCAGTAACACCAGACCAGGGAGGCCTTCTCTTAACCATACAGAAAAGTAATGCCTATTCTCTCAACTTCCTAGCTCTTAGTTTCGATATAATTTTTTTTACATAACAATAAACAATACTGCCCGATATAATGTATGTATGTCTGTTGACCTGTTGACAACCCTCAATCCAACTAGAATACAAGCTCCATGAGAACAGGAATTCTGTGTTGTTCTGTGCGGTGCCCCCAGCACCAAGAAGGATCCCTGCTGCGTGGTCCACACTCCATGAATGTTTGTGGAATGAATGGGTGGCTGCATAAATGAATGCACCACAGGGTAACAGACAAGGGAGAAAGGACCAATGTCATGGTTCTGGATGAACATGTGCTTGAAGCTAACTTGCTGAGGGCCAGGCCAGGATGCCTGTCCCCAGGTTCACTGATCCCAGCTGTCAGGATATTCCCCTGGGCTTTGAGACTCCACTGGTCTAGAGGAGAAAGAGCTCCTGGGAAGGGAGCTCTGGCCAGACCGATGAAGGAAAGCTGCTGTTGAAGACAAGCTCTGAAATCAAGAGGCTGTGAACAGCTTCTCTCTTCTCTAACTAGTTGGGTGTACTTATATTGTATGTACATAAAGCCTGCCCCTGGATTTTAGGCCCAGGGCTCAAATGGATCCCAATGGAAAATACAAGCTTTATTTAAATGGCTCTAAATAAGGCTGGACGGGGAGAAAAGTTAACATTTGTTGAGGTCTAATAAAAACAAGAAACTACACTAAAGCATTATCTCCTTCGATCCTCACCTCAAGCCTACAAATTAGAATGGACTGTCCCCGTCCTACAGAAGGGGGCACAGAAGGTCAGGAATTCAAAAGGATCGAGGCAAACTCAGTCAGCTAATCAATAGCAGAACTGAGACTTGAAGTCAGGTCTAATTCTGAAACTCGTCTCCTCCTTCTGAATGAGGCAATGACTCAGGGAACCACACTAGGAAGAGAAAGAAGAAGGGGAGCTCAAGGTACTGCTCAGTCCCCAGTGAATGACAACCTGGTATGAGGAACAAATCTGGGATAAAATTATCCTGGGAACACAGGGCTGGAAAATACCTTAGAAACCACCTGGTCTCACCTTCTATATTGTATTCAGCTTTATAAAGTGCCCTGCTTTCCGTTTTCAAGGAAATTCAAGATATCTCGATGGGAAAGAAGGGAAGACGGCAGAAGAAGACACCAGCCACTAGTGAAGGGTAAGAGGTGTGTGGCCAGCTCGGCGTATGGGCATCTCCTTCCTGACTCCTGATCCCGGGCCAGCTCACAGGAGTTGTGTTACTATAACATAGTCTAGGAGTGGAACCCTCAGTAGATCTCTAGTCATCAGGAAGGAATATCAGCTCATGTCAGGTCCAAGTTCAGTGAAGAAGTTCACATAGATGTGGCTGTATCTTTGCAGATAAGGAGAAAAGGGCCACAACCAATTGGGAGAAGGTAAGAGATGAGGGAGTGTAATGAGACAGCCAGTGCGCTGGAAGGGAGGGGAGAGGGCGAGGGGAATGCTGGCCTGCAGCTCGTGCCCCGCAAGTGCTCTTGGATGACAAATTTGTCTCTAAAAATGTTACAGCGAATGAGATGCTAGCCAGATTTCTCCCCCTGCTTGGCTAAATCTGGATGGGTAAGAAAGAAACCTCAAGTGTTTAATCCAAAATGGATTCTGAAAAAAAAAAAAAAAGCAGCAGCAACCTCAAACTGCTCTAATACGTCTCCTCCTGCATGTAGTTCTAAACCCCGCTATTCCATGCCCAAGCACTCAAGAGCATCAAGACAGCTCCCACTCAAAGTGACCTTATAGAACCCAGGAAATTTTAACCACTTCCAAATGACAGCTACCTTGGAATGCACATCAGTTATTAATTAGGTCCTTTTTTTTTTTCCTTTTACGTGTAATGTGGTGTTAGGAGGCATGGTTTCCAGTCAAAGATGGCAAATCTGGTGAAATGACATCCGTAAATCTTTCCCGTGTTCTCTAAGCCTGCCTATCTCGGGTTCCCACCCTACCAGTGCCGGTGATCAGTGTGGTCCGCTGTCACCTGCACCCAAGGTTTCTCACCTGGAGATGGCTCTTGTGATTCAGATTCACCAATCCAGGCCGATAGAAAGAACCAGCTGAGCTGCCTTCAGGCCAAGACAAGCCTGGCTCCCCGAATCAGGGCTCTGTCCCCCTTGAGTCCTGTGGTTTCTCTGACCTGAAGGGAGTGATGATCTGCAAAAAGGGAATGCAAGTCATGTTACTATGAGAAGCCATTTCCTGTCCTCCTCTATTAACAATACTTTTTTTTTTTTTTTCTTTTTAAGGAAAGCAGAAAGTCCCAGAATCAAAGATTCCCAGGGCTGAAAGAAATTGATGTGATAACCTTGTCTTACCCTTTCGTTTTGCAGTTGAGGAAATTGAGGCTCAGAGAAGAAAACGGCCTCCTTTAAGGTTCAGCTGCTTAGAAGAGGAATCCAGATGAGAACGTGTCTCTGACTCTCGGGCCTTCGGAATTTTTTTAAAAGCAGCCACATGGTCTGGATAAATTCTCAAACAACTGGTCATTGACCCTGAATGGGAAATCTTTCTTTCTCTTTTTTTTTTTTAAACAGATTTTCAAAAAAGGGAGGTGGCACTTTTTCCAGATTGCTGTTTTTGTCATTTTTATAGTTTTACCCCTGGGAGCTAAATTAGTAAAACAGTCCAGCTCGGGCATGTGGTTGGGATGGTTCTCCCTGTTTCCCCTTAGAAAAATATTGTTATGGAACAGCGTGACCTGTGAGCACAGTGGGGGGTGGGCTTTGTTTTTCAGAGACAGGCATGTTTGCGCCCCACCGGCAGGTCTCACAGTTAGTCTCTCTCTGTCTCTGTCTCTGTTTCTCTCCATGTTTCAGGAAAACACAGTAACAGACATGGACTCTCTTCCCATGGGGATCATTAATTAGGTGATGTTTCTGGCTACTGTACATTTGAAGAGCCATTCCTCTGTGCAGAAAACCAAAACCAAAAGAGGGATCTTGCATTTGTTAAGCAAATAATATCTGCCAAGCACACCATGTGTCTCTCATAGATACATTTCCCTAATTTGCCCTCATAAATACCATTAACTTCGTTTTTCCAGAGGGTTAGGGAACCAGACTTCAGAGAGCTAGAATAATCTGCAGAGTCATAAAGAGAATATGGTGCAGAATCATTAACAAACTCATATCTCACTGCCAAATCTAGGTTTTGTCCATCTAAGCTGGACTATATGTACTCGGCCAAAACACTAGGAGTTTTGCAGTGTTTTAGTTCAAATGCAACAGAATGTTCTTTGGAAGCAATAAATTGTTGCAAGGGCATGAAGGAATATTCTTCCGAGATTCTGTTTCAGACAGGGCTCTAAAGACCACAGCTTCCTGTCCTGCTCCCAGCCGGGGCTCACGGGCCCACAGAAGCCCCCCGGCTCTGGCTCCAGCCTGCAGCCACACGAGAGGGCCAGTCAGTCAGGAAGTCATGATGCTCAACGCTCCACACTTGTTCCTGTTCTCAGACAACAGGGACAGGGCTGAGAGATGGGCTGGGGGTGGAGAAAGAGGAAGAAAAAACAGGAAGTAAAGGGGGGAGGGAAGGAAATGATAGAGAAAACACAGCAACTCTGAGAAGTCCTTGGCCTGATGTGAAAGTGATTTCTGAGCCGACGTCTGTGGGGCTGGCTCTGCATTTTGGGAACGCAGGTCACGAGGGCAGCAGCGAGAGACTCGGGGTGTGTGCCTAGACAGGGCCACCCCAGAGCCCGCTGTGGGAAGGGGCCCCAGCACAGGGACTCTTTCCCATGGGCGCTTGGGGGTGGACAAAGACTAGAACAAATTTTCAAAGAAGAATCCCATGGTAGGACCGTGTCTCTCACCTCCTGGCTGTGACCGGGAGGCCAGGTGCACCCCACGAGGACCTGGAGACGAGAGAGAGAAGCTGTTGAAGGGATGGGGTCTCACGGGGTGTTACCCCGCCCCGCTGCTCTCCTTCAGGAATGCTCTCTAAATTAGAACCTGCTTTAGTGTCTGTGATTGGGGCCTGGTTCACCCGACTGGGCCCAGCAAAAACCCCACTTTCTCCTACCACAAAATTAAGAGGGCCAGGTCCTTAGAAGGGTAAGTCTCCCCCAGACCATGATTCTAAGGTACTTCCAGAGTATTTTGTCCACTTTACTTGTTTACAGTCTCTTATAAAAGCCCCCCAACTCCTGATGGGCATCATTAAGGGTGACAATCACCTGGGAAGTTGAACAGCCACACAAACAGACACCCCTAATAAAAATAACCTGATGACGAGGCGACACTAATACTGATAATAGCGTAGGGCCCTCTGAGGGCACCAGAGTGGGGGTGGTGAACGCACAGGCCCAAGAGGCCACCATGTCATACTCCCTCTCCAAGCAGTTACATTAAAAAGAAAAAGAAAAAAAATGGGTGGAGCTTACCAAAAGGCAAATTAGTGGAAAGAAGTAGGAATACAGTAAGGACACGGTGGACAGAAGACACCTTCATCGAAGAGGCAGAGAAAGGTGGCAGGTCTCTAGGTGGGACTAGTGAGAGGTGCTGAGCAAGCAGGACCAGGAATTTGGTTCCCAGCCTCTCTTTGGTGGCAGCCCGCCCACCCTTCCCGCGCCCGAGTCAGCCCGCAGCAGTAAAGGGCCTCTGGCCTTGGCGTTGACACAGCATGGCGTGGTGGGAGGGAGGAGGAAGTAGGCTAGGCTGCGGAGGGGACGGAGGGAGGGCCCGAGGCGGCAGAGTCCTCAGGACGGGTGTAAGGGATGATGTCTTGGGAAACCAGAAGGGAAGGGGCCCACTGGTGGGAAAGCAAGATGCTGTCCAAAGTCCCCACTTCAAACACTGAAATACTCACGGGGACCCTTGGGTCTGGTTTCAGCCTCATAAAGACCTGGGGAGGAGGGCAGGACGGGGCTCATCCCTCACCACTTCAGAGGTGGAGAGATTAAAGCCAAACGAATAACAGTCACAGATTAATAATAATAAAACAACAATAATGCTATTTGTTGGCAACCTTTTATGTCAGGAAGTAAGCTAGATGCATTACATAGGCTATTTAGTAATTACACCGACTCTGTGGGGGCTGTGTGATTATTCCTAATTTATAGCTGAGCTACACTAAGCAATTTCCTAAAGGTCTAAGAGCTAGTCGGCTAGGAGAAAGGATCTGAGGCACAGCCTCTGTGACATTTTGTCCCATGATGTCACCACCTGAAAACCACATGTGCTGTGAAACAATGACGTGCCTTCCCCACAACTCTGCAAGGGTGCTAACCCACAGCAGCCACCTTGTGAGCTGTCAAAACACCCAGTGATGGAAGGAGGCTTGACCTGGGGAGGTGAACGTGCAACACAATATACAGATCATGTATTAAGAATTGTACATCTCAATGTAATTTTATCAATCAATGAAGTCAATAAAATGAAAAAACCCCACAGTACAGGTTTTTACGTAAATGTATTATCCACCTTGCATCTACACTCAGTGCGTACTCTTGGTCATGCGCAGTCAGCGTAACTGTGTAATTTATCATCTAAACCTGGATACTTGTGACAGTGAAAAGGGAACTACTAATGCCACGGGGACAACAGGCATAAACTGGGACTGTCCCACGTACACAGGACATATGGCCACCTAATATAATCCGTAGTCCCATGGGCCAGTTATTTTCGTGCCTCTTATATCAGTAGGGAGCTGTCCTGGACAGTCCCCTGCCTTCCAACCCACACGAATATTCCTTTGCAAGAGCTCACTCTCCCTTTGCTCACGGGGATGTCTTCCACTGCTGCTGGGCTTCCAGTCCTTGTGCATAAAACAGGCTCATGCCACCAGGTTGTACAGCGGTCATGCCGCCATGATAGGGGCAAGCGTGTGACGCGTTTTAGGAATGCATTTTAAAAGGACTGTTGGGGTTCCTGTGCCCTGACACACAGAAGCTGAAGGCGCAGTTGTTCCACTAACCAGCCAGGCCCCCGGCGTGAGAGCTAGGTGGATCCCCTAGGCAGAGTAAATCTCCTAAGTGGCTCTCCTGTCTCACACCACACAGGGCAGCTGGAGGGACAACCCACATGGGAAGCAGCTGCTGCTGCCCCGACCCCATTGAGACGCTGCAGGCCACTGACAGGACGCAAGACCCCATTTCCTCAAGGGGCAGCATGTTGCTAGGACCAGCCAAGCCTTTCCCCATTGCCAGCAGGTACTGACCCTGCCTGGAGGGTGCAGAGCCGGCCCCTTTCGTTGGGGATCTCCCCTTTCACCCCACTGTGCTGGGGAGGATGGGGCAGCCCCTCAAGCTGGCTTTGGTTTTTCCCTAAGAACCTGCCGCCTTAAGAATCTCTGCCCAGGGAGAGAAAAAAACTGGCTGTCCTTTTGAATCCAGGACATAGTCTTGACTCAAACTCATCCAGCAATACAGGCAAAGTAAATGCTAATAAGAAAGCAACGGCCTTAGTCCTGAAGAGAGCACTCCCACGTTCACTGCATCGCAGAGCATCACGGGACGTGAGTGCAGAGATTTTCTGACAGTTCTACAGGAGTTCAAGGGGCTGAGGAGCGCCGCAACGCCCAGGGGGCTCTGGGCCCTCCTCCTGCAGGAGCACAAACAGCCAGGCTCATTACCTGTTTTGTGTGCAAGCAATCATATTTGGTAAACAGGTAAGACATTTTTTCCATACTTGGCCACATTCACAGGTGGTGGTGGTACAGAACACGGACTCATCTTTGCAGGGCTGGGGGGGGCATCATTCAACCCCCAACTACTATTACTATTAACTTAGTATTACTATTACTATTATTCTTACTCTTACTATTACTATTACTCTTACTTTTACTGATATAATTCAGGAGATACCTCTGTCCTAGAGAAAGGAAGAAACTTGTCTAATGCCACTCCCCAAGCAGGCGGAGAAGCCAGGACAAGATCCCAGTTCTCCCCACTGACTCAGCTCCCTCCATGGCAGCCTGTTAGGAACCCATGGTGGGCAGCTGGTCATGGGAGCAGCCTAGAGACCTGAGGGTGACAGACCAGAGTGGCCTGGGCTCAGGCAATCCTAAGTCTGTTAGAGGCCAAGGAGTGGATGGCGGCGGGGGGACAGATGACTGTCCCTCTGCCTCACCACGCACTGACCGTCCCTCAAGGCCCTGTGCTGCAGGCATGGCCCACGGCTGTCTCCCTCAGCCCTCCTCTCAATCCTGCTGAAAAT